GCTGGCTGCCATCATAGTTGAAGTGGGTATGAGCCAGCACGCTGGCTACCATCATAGTTGAAGTGGGTATGAGCCAGCACGCTGGCTGCCATTATTGGGATGGCAAAGCCAGCACGCTGGCTACCATCATAGTTGAAGTGGGTAAGCCAGCACGCTGGCTGCCACTGTCCCCTTACCAGCAGCCCAAATGCTCACGACGATGAGCTGGGCTGTCACCGCTTGGCCGCCGGTGGGGGGTTTGGGAGGCCGCATCACACACAGACACCCACACACTCCCTCAACTTACACGAACACACACATACGCAGACTCATTTCCACACGGACATAGACACACGCACAGAAACCCACACACTACCTCAACTCACTCGACTCCACACTTCTCACTGCACACTTACCGGATAACTCGCACTCTGACTTCCTACGTGATGAAAAATGCTTTCGGGCCACTCGTCGTCTAGTTTTTCTCTACTCGTGCCATAAGATTTGGGAGGCTACCAAGTTTCGACCCACTACCATGTCAGACTGGTATTGATAATTATTGCCGGGCAGCAGCACTTCTCTTAGGTCTGCTGCAGAAAACCTCATCCTGTTGTTGAGCAGCTCCTTGGCCACTGCATGAAGCAGCAAGCAAATTGCGATAAAGGGAACCGATTAGATTCCCTACGACTGCCTCATGTCCAGGTTGCTGCTACGTGATTTCCTGGTATGAGCGTGACTTTTCAGAATCCTTTGGAACAGAACTGCAGACTCTTGCCTGATGTCTTGCGAGAGAAAAGACTCTCTGGGACAGACGTGAAATCCCATCCATTTCACCATCCGGCTCCAAGGATGGTGTACGAAGTGGTGCAGCGGCGGCGCTGTGATGCTTGTACCTTACAAGACATGTTTCTTCCATCGAAATCATGATGAGGACAACGGGGACTGCAAGAATTCCAGACATGCCGAAAGGTGGACTTGGGCTCCTTTAATGAGGTTCCAGTCCACTTCTCTTTGTTCCTCCACGGCTTTCCCGGCTCTCGAGACCCTTTGGATATTTCGGATCTCCGTTGGTCCGAACAAGGTCATCAGTGCCTTGGACAAAGCGAGTGAGAATGAACGCAAGCACATCTTGGACGAGGCCTGGAAGGAGGGAAAGCAAGCTTTGGAAGTCTGAACGGATCTTCGGAGGTCGCCAAGATTACCTCGAATTTCTTCACCTCAAGTGTTTTGGCGGCAGTATAGTAGTGAAAGCTCCCTTGCTTTCAGTTCACCCACCACAAGTCCGCGACCCTAGAATCCGACCAATGGCATCCTGGCGATGGTCCTGGAAGCTGGAAGTGCGACAAAAAGGGTGGAGCTGCTGAAACTGGGCCGCACCTGGTGCAGACTCAAGCTCATGAAGGGCAATCGAGAAGCAAACGTCAGACGAGATGCACCAGGCGTGCTTTCAAAATCGCCTTCAGATGCCTTAAGCCTTAAGGTCTTCAATGCTCAGACGTGCACCTTATGGCTAGAATCAGGCCAAGCGGAGAAAGGAGAAGAAAGATGAAATAAATAAATATGGCCGCCGTATTTTCACGTTCTTCGTACACCGAAGGCTTGTTGCGCCCCATTCCGCCAAAGCTCCAACGGACCCCGCATTTTGTTCCATTCTTAGCTTGTTAGGAGCAGGTGGCTTGCTCTTCTTGGCACACACGCAATGTAATCCAATTGGAGTGAATTATGGTTAGTGGGTGCTTGAATGGTAACTTGCTGCTTCACTAGGTGGAGTTCTTCCGGCAGCACCCAGTGAAGCTGCAACCAACCTGCCGACCTGTGAGGATAACTTGGGGTTGAGAGCAGTTTTCATAGAGATTCGAGCTCCAAGTTCATTTACTGTATTTCAAGGATATTCTTTTGCCCCCGAAAGGCTTGCCAAGAACTGCCATATTCTCTCTGCAGCTGATGATGACAGCATAACCTTTGAGATGCAGCAGGGAACACAGACCACAGATGAACACAGTCAGATATTGCCGTGCCTTTGCATTGACTGGCTGAGTGAGCCAGTCAAGGTGGTGGTCATCGGTGACAAATCAGTCTCAGCGCGTCCAAGCAGAGGACCAAGCTGGGTTCCTGTGCGAGATACAGTGAGGAATATAGCCGACGCTGACATGGGAACCTTTCACTATTGTCTAGTGCTTTCTTTCAAGCCATCTGTCCTGGAAGCTTCTACTGTAACCTCGCTACAAACCTGGTAGCTGAGTGGCGTCGAAGCAGGACCGCGAAGGGTCCAGATGGAAAGCAGACGGGGGCTGTGTTGCCGCAACTTGGCTTTTGATACCTTACAAGGCCTCAAGGCATTGTATAATAGCCTCATATAGGCTCTATCAGTAGCCAAAAGATGAAACAACAAACTTTCAATGTGAGCTTGAACAGATAATATTTTGCTGCCGATGTTTGCACAATTTTTGTATCTTTGTATATTGATATTAGTTGGTAAGCAAACGTCAAGCAAAACTACTGCGCATGACAACATTCAATAGGTCTTTGCTGGCCCAACCAAGGTTTCAATGCCTTGGTGCAACGGGGATACCTGGATGTTGCCTGGAGGTATAGAGTGTGAGCAGCGGAATGTCACGGATTGGCGCTGGGCTCAGTTCCAAAGGAACAAGCAACATTCGCAAAAGGTTCAGGCTATAGAGTCATAGCCATAGCTGTCATAGCCATCATAATGGAGATTTGGAGCACGTCAGCTCTGTCAGCTCCACTTGGCTCGGCAGGTTGAAAACTCAAGGCCATGATGCTTTGGCAGAAGTGTGGGAAAATCTTGTAAGTTTTGCCCAAGACCCTGGCAACGATGACGAAGGCCACCTGAGCCACGTGTATTTCTGCAATGGCAATGACCCTGCCGTTGTCCAGCTGTGTTGAGCTTTGGAACACTTGTCCCAGTGCAAGACAATTCTTCTTTACATGCGCAAGGAGAGGCACTGGCGCCATTGGCTGGGGCATGGTACTGCCAGACAAACCAGCTCGAGGAGTGCACAAACAGTTGTACTTCTTTAGGACTTTAGGTTATTTTGGGTTGTTGGTTAACTATTGGATCAAGCATTTCGACTCATTTTGCAGTACGCTGAGCAGTCCATTCGCAAAAGTAGTGGCATTTGCATGATGGACACGCTTGACATAATGCCATCATGTGTGGAGAGTGTAGAGGCAAGATGTAGTCGTGACAGCCAATCGAAAGTTCAAGAGTGAGTGACAGTCAGAGATTTATATAGGTGAGTGCAGTGAATTCGCACTCTTCAAGTGAGGCGAAGGAGTTGGTTGCGGTCCAACACTTGGACAGGCGGCGAATGCAACTACGGTGCTGTTGTGAACAGGTATGACCAAAATGACAATGCTGGTACAACAGGGTACAACCTTCAGAGAAGCACGAAGGGCTTCTCTTTAATTCTACAGTAGACCCACTGTTGTTGCAGGCAAGGCATACTGGAAGCTCGCTTTGCATGTGAAGGGCATGCAGTGATTCGCGTCTTTACACACAGTGTGCCTCGGATAAGTGATCCAACTCATTCACCTTATTCGATTGCTTGCTGTCCTTTTCATGCCACTTACTGACTCTTTAAGCCATCATGCGGGTTTCAACTTGGTGCACTCAGGATTTTGGACGCCATGGCTTCCGGTCCATGATCTTCTGCTCCGATGCTGCCTTTTCCTACGCATCCTTGGTGCCCAATGATCAAGACAGAGAAGAGAGACCGCTCAGCAATCCTCAATTTGCCGGCAAACTAGGCCGGCAGGGGCTGAGGAGCATGATCGGGTGCTGACAAATGCCTGCGGGCAGTGATTGCTAATTTTGCTGGCCTCTGCAATGTCGAAGTTGGTTTGGGAATCAACATCGCTACAATCTCAGAAGCTTTGCTTTTTATTCCTCTCAGAATGTCAAGTGGAGCGTGAGGCTTTCTCCCGAAAGATGAGTCCTTGGCGATTTTGGATGACGGCAAGCGTCTTTGGGTGCCTCCAGTGGCTCTTCAAGGTCTTCTTCCGGCGGTTCTGTTGGAGGCCTGCTACATAGACCTGCCAGACGTGGAACTTTCTTTGTAGAGTCACTGTCAACAGATGTAGAGCAAGTGTCACAGGGCTGCCGCTTCTGGGCCGAAGACAAGGGCGGCACTGTGAGCTTCAAAGGCCAGGGTTTTTGTGGTGTCACCGTCAGCTTGGCATCGTCCAAATGATTCAGACACTTTTCAGAATTTGGTGAACTCTTAAGCTCGAAGTTTGATTTGCAGGTCGGCAAGCGGAAACGTTTACTGTAGAAACCTTTGAGCAGTCGATTTCCTTTCATTTTGCGCTTCGTAGACAGAGTGTGGTTTAAGCATCAGTGTAAGTGCCAAAGGCGAGCCGTTCAAACCACCGGTCTACAACAGCCTCAACTACAGCATTCAGATTGAATGTACGAAAGGAACTGCCAAGGCACGCGTGGTGGGATTTCAGCACCGCTGTGTGGAGCAGGACATAGTTCTTTTTATTTTTATTTTTCTTGATTAGACTTAGAGATTGAGTCGAGATGAGTCGAGCATGATTGAGCCCAATGGTGGCAAGTTTAGCCTGAAATACCCTTTCCAGTACGTTTCCTCAAAAATCTACAAAAAACATCATTAGTGCGTGAGCTATCCTGTGTCCATATGTAGCTACTAGCTACCTACCTAGCTAACCTACCAGCGGCCTACCCCCCCGGGCTGTGCGGCTTTGTTCAGGTCACGCGCAAAGTTGGTGACAAGACTTGGGTCTTGGCCAGTCCGATCCATGCTCCTCGCGGGTCTCAGATTGAAAGGTTCGCTGCAATTCTGGGACCTTTAGAAGCGATGAGCCACACGCTCTTCTGGACAGACGAGGTATCCCAGCTGAATCTACATTGCTTTCAACTGCTTTTGTGTAACTAGAATCTAGAATTGTATATATATATATGTATATATTATATATAGTCAAAAAACGTGTGCTTGGTATATCTTGTATTTGGTATAGACAAAGACGAAGCACAACAAAAACGGAAAGCCATGCCTCTTCGTGATCCCAGGAGGGCACTGCCCTTTGTTTGGTGGAACTTCCGCGAGTGCAGCTGCGGTTTGCGCCTGGTCCAGATCCGAATGGCCGCGGCTTTCGACTCTTCTCCAAGGAGTTTGGAGGCTGTGGTGACATGGGGAGAATAGTCGAGAGTCAATGAGGAATGGCACGTAGAGAATAGTGCTGTTTGACAAGGTTCGTGCATTTGAAGATCCTGCTGAGTCCTGCCTCCTCTTTGAAGTTTGTTCCCACTATATTATATAGAGTTTGGTCAGCTGCAGGCTTCTATTTGCTGAACCGCAGAGGAATTTACGACCCCGAGGCCATGGGATCACGGTGAGGATGTGCATGGAGCGTATATTGTAGCGTTGCTGATCTCAAGTAGTCAGTTTATGCCTATGCAGTCTCTAAGTCTCCCTCTCTCTCTATATATAGAATTATATATATATTATAGTTACAATGCTGACATGTTCGCATCAGGCTTGGAAAGATGCGACTGGTGATCCGAGAGCAGCAGACCTTGCCACCCAGCTATACATTTCATTTCATCATTTGGATTCACGATTGGTTCGATATAGAGCTGGAATATTGAAGCATGCTTTGATATGCTTTGAGATTAATCTTTGACCCGAAGAAATCGACAAGGGATGGGTGTTTGCGTCTAGGCCGCCTTTTTGGCAAAAATGCCTCACGCTGTGATCCTGCGGAGTACAGCTGGTTCTATCCGAATCCTCGTCACGAATGCAGACGTGACCAGGCGCGATTTGCTTGATTCATTTTGTGAGCAGCTGGGCATTTTGCCTAGTGACACATGAATATCATCATTTGATGTCATAATGCGAGCGCATCATGGACAGCTGTATTTTTGCTGCATGAAATGCGCATGTTTGTGTTGCTTGACCACCTTGGTGGATTGTCAATGCCATTCAGTCTGACGCCCCGCAAAGATGTACTCGTGAGATGTTGTCAGTTCTATGCCTGGTAGATTTGCACCAAAAGCTGCAATTACAAGCACTTGTGTTAAGTCGTCTGGTCTTGTAGAAAGTCGTCTGGATGTTGCGTTTCCATTGCGGTTAGATGCAAGATTGCAATATAACTGGAAGAGCATTAGGTCAACAGCATTGTTTGGATGCTGCGTTTCCATTGGGGTTACTGTAGGTGCAAGATGTCACCCTCATTGGAAGATAAGCTTGACGTTGCCGGACCAGAGCAAGTAGAAAAGATTCGGTTAGTCTCAGCATGCTGCATCTATGTTTAGGGGGTAATCTTCACGATAGTCCTAACCTTGCGTTCTGATTGGGGTTCGGTCACCAAAACGCTCCAAACCTCGACATAAAACTAGTTCTTTCCTGCACAGGGGCAGTGAATTCTTGATGTATAGCAGTTTTGACAAACATACTTCCGTAGACCGTTTACATTGTGTTTTAACATAAAACGGGTGACTTTTCGCGAGCCGGGTGACTTTTGACTAATGCTGCGTTTCCATGCGGCCGGGTGACTTTCTGCAAACCCGGGTGACTAAACCCTAGCGCTAGTAGCTCGTGTGTCTTACCCTCAGGCCAGCCATCAAGTGCAAACCATTCTCTACAGCAACATGGCAGCTTCTTGTGGGATTGACATGTTGTCATGGTGTCCTTCCTCCAACCTTGACTCTGACATGTGTCTACACTTGACTTGAACTTGGAGAGCTCTTTGAGAATCTCAGGATTTAGTCGTGAACCGAAAGATCTTGGTGGCACTCAGCCTTAAGACCTTTCTTTGGGACTTCCACGAATCTGGCTCTCTGTTGCTCACGTCCTCGCTCAGCGGCACGCTCTACTTGGCCCTTTTGCACCTTGGCTTTGCTTGGATCTCTTTATTGCCTTTCTTCAACATCTCAGTTTTTCTTGAGAAACTGAAACAAGATGTTGCAATGCTTTCAAACATTAAAACGTTTGCTTCAGGACATTGCTGCATCGGGATTACATCGCCTGTGCGAGACTAGTTGGCTCTGTGGGCTTTGATGAAGGCCAGGAAGCTGCATGTTGGCTTTCAAGGCTACTCTACCAGTTTCATTTCTACAAACCATGTCTGCTGCCAACCTTCAATTAATTTGTGCTGGCACGACGTCTTTTGTGCTCTGGAAAGGCATCTCTGCTGAAGAGTTCCGCCTTCTAAAGATGATCCTGATTTCAACTGCCAAAGCTCCTTGGATCAAATAAGAGCTCTTTGGTTGTTCCTTCGGCTTCGGGGCCTCGTTTGTGCGCTAGAGAAAGCCAATCCCATGGAAGAGAGACGCAAGGTTCAATATAATTCACTTCTCGTTTTGCATGGTCGGGTGGGGTGGGGGTATCACTGGGAGTGGCACTGTGCTGTGCCTGGGGCATCACTCTTCTTCTCCCTCTGAGGATAGACATCCAAATGCTTCAGCCTTGCGCCTGAAGATGATTCTGGCGCTCATTGCACACAATCCGAAGCATCCTTTGTTGGAGCCCGTGCCCATCCCAGGTGTTTTTAGTTTGAGAACGACGGATGCCATTTTGTACCCTGAAAAGAACGAGTTGTGCATGGTGTGAGCACCACACCGGGCCATGGACCCCCTCAACCCATAATTATAAGAAGATGCGTTTTACTCTACTCCGATTTGATTCAATGATTGGGATCTTTGGAAGAGTCGCACTCACACTCAGATTCAAAGTGATACAGATGAGGATGTGAAACTCATACAGTCAGACTATGCCGACTACCTGGTGAAACTGACGCACATTTCGCAGAACTGTCGGCTGCAGTTGCGAGAAGAAGGCATTTGAGAGAGAGATGGACAGAGGGCAAATATTGATAATCATTTGAGTTTCTGCATAAACAAAGATCAGTATTTTTTCTTTTTTTTATGTTAGCTACTTGCGTTTATTTTGCACACTGTCGACAGTTTGAATAGTTTGCCGCTTGCCCTTCTGATACGTTTGGCTTCGTTTGGCTTTATCGACAGATGCAATGCTTGAAACAAACAAATCGGTCCAGGTGTGTTGCTGCGCAATATGACCGAAATGGAGTGTGAGCTGCTAGCTACAAAAACCCAGTGGACATTGACTGCTGCGCCGGTTCGAGTGATGAGTCGTTCTGCGCATTCACTTCGTCCAAGCAGGTTCGGTTATGCGCACGGTCAGCACCACTGTTTAACATCCATTCTCCACTCGTCTCCACCTGTTTGGTCGGCATGCGTCCGCTGTGCGGAGCTGCTCAGGTTTTGGCCACAAGCGGAGAATCGGCAGAAGTTCGTGGAGGCTTCACTGAACGGCTCGCCCGCCTGTATGCTGAGGTGACTTGGTGTTCATATGAGCTTAATATCATTCATGTATCTCCCTCTCTATGTATATATACCTAGAACCTGAATGACCTCTATTTTGGACCACCCAAATATGGCCTTTTCCTATCAAAACAGGGGTCAATTGGGTTCCAGGTATATTGTTATATATTTGCGTATGACTTTTTATCACGGCTGCGTGTGCTTGATTTTGGAAGTGGTAGTTGTCCTTCGTTTTTGTTTTTCGAGATGAGCATGTTCATCGGTGGCAGTTGGTTCTATGGCTTGACTATGTGACCAAATACTTGTGCTGGATTTAATGTGCACCAGGCTTGAAGACCAGTCAGTGTAGTTGAAGCATGTTGAAGCTCTCAGGTATGGTACTAAGCATCCAGCTCAAAATCGAGAAGGTCGCGAGCCAAAAACCAAAACCTTTTTTTTTATAGGTCTCAACCTTTGGCCGCTGGCTTGCTTGGGAGGTCTTTTGGGCTATCAAACTCTGTGCAGATACATGGATGCTTACTGCAACTCAAGATGGCATCCAAGCTGAAACTGTTTGTTGCCGCACATTCACAGGGTTTGTGCGAAGCACGGCAATCCAGTGGCTGAATGGCTGCAGGTATGAAAACTTTACTGTGGACTCCAATGAAGAGGGTAAGGTCCGCTCAGACTTCGAGTCGCTCATTGATTTGATGGATCGTTGCGATAGGGTTTGGACCCCAGAACTTGGAAGATGTGCAATTCTTGGAGGATTTGTGCAAGACTATGGTGAATTGGTACATATATTTATTTCTGACTAGATACCTAATTTGCTTAAGGAAGATTGGACATGCTCTGGTACGCTTTTCTTCACCCTCTACGGAATTCTCACAGGCAGGGGAATTGTTTCTGGGAGCACTCTTAGGATTTGCTTTCTGTTTTTTGTAAGATGCATTTCTCTGTGTGACGTTTGGCGTAGATTTCTGGAATGCGGAGAGTCATGCTGAGCTGATTGGAAACACTGTGAGGCACCAGCAAAGTGAAACTGCATGGAAAAGATGTGGCACAATGCCTTGTCCGGCTGGTGATTGAAAAGCAACTCGTACATAAATGTGTGCGGCCGCCAGCACCATCAGGTCCTTTTTGGTTCAGGGGTCATCCAGGCTCAACGCAGAAGGCATCAATTCTTATGTAATGGCCAGGCACAACATCCGTTCTGCTCGCACGTCATGTGCAAACAGATTGAATAAGGTACTGGTTGCGTTGCATCCGGCTTGCCAAAAATCCTTCAGGAGACTGAACCGGTTCCAAGGGCTGGTGAACTACAGAATCTCAAAGTCTCGCTTCGCTTGTAACCATGATGTGATCCTGATGCACAGTTTACAGTATGCAAAGCCGTAAGTACATTCTGACTGTTTGACTGTTGTGTACTTTAACCCCAGCAAGTCTTCAGGAGATGACCTTCGAGTCATTTGCACCTTGGCAATGTATAGTATAGTTAATTCATACCAATCCATACCTAACACCTCTTCAGCTCAACCAACATGTGTCAAGCTTCCATTTTTTCTGGTGATCTTTGAACGATGCAGCTTGACCCAGATCTGAAATGCCATCATCAGGCACCCTTTGGTCTGTAATGGGCATGAATGCAATGGGAATGGCCGGCAACCTGCCACCGTTTGAAGAAGCAGAGACTTGGCCTAAAGTATCCTAAAGTTATGCTGACGTTTGCCGTCTGATTCACCACGAAAGCTAGTTCTTGCCAGTTCTCCTTGCTGAATATCAGGCCCAGACGGTCCCTTCTCCCTGCTCTCTCCGGGCTCAACTCCACCCTGGTCCATTCTAGTTGGGTGTGAATTCCAGCTTTCAATCCTTTTCATGCACATCTGGATGGAAGGTCCTCACACCACAGTTGCAGCGAACACCTGAAAAGCATCCTTCCATTGAAGGTGAGAAACTACAAATATCCAGGAGCTAAAGCGCGACTTTGCGTACCGGAACAACATACCATAACGCGTAACATACCAGTTCCGCACCAGTAAGGACCTACAGTACCACGTCACCACTGGTACTTCGTTTCCATACGATTTTCGTCAGTCAGTATTTAAATAGATGCACATAAATAGTATACAAGCATATACAAGCAGAAACGTGCTTCACCCGCTTTACAGAATAACCTCTTCACCCGATTTGTGAATGTACCGTACCAGGTACCACGTCCGCATAGCACGTCATAAGCACACCGCCAGCAGTAAGAACCTGCCACTCCAGCATACCTGGCCAAGCCATGAGATGAGACTGGGCTACTCGTCGACTCGTCGCTGCGTCCTCGCGGCGCTCGTGTATTAACCTAGCTGACCTAGCTCACCAGAAGAGAACGCATACCAGGCATACCACCTCACCAGCGTTAACAAGTGACAAACCTCCAGAATCCACAAGGTGCAATACACAACAATCCACCACGGTGCAATTAAAACATAGAAGGTAACGGAATGCTAGAAATAGCATCTGAAAATTGGCGATGAGAACGAGAATGCACAAGATCACCAGCAGTGCAATGCACCGTAACAGCCCTAGCAATGTGCCCTATCACCACCGGCCAAATGCACCGCTTCATGAGCAGTAAGAGGCAACCACTTTATCAGCAGTAGAAGCATACGACACGTACAGACCATGCGACTTGTCCGGCAGTTAGAGCCAGCTGGGACCTACTTCAGTGATAAAACTGCACCGCCTCACGCCAGCAGTGAGACCTCAAAAGCGTTAGGACCACCCGGAAAAGCAACTGACAAGGCCACAAGGCCACTCCTGCCACCTGCCACTTGTTTGGGTATCCTTCTTTTTGCTGCTAGTTTTGGCTCACTCCTTCGTGGTCACCAGCAAGAAGATGCCTTAGACTCATAGGCAGGTCCTTCACGACTATTTGTTTACACTGTGAGCATTGCGACATTCTGTCACGTTGTCAGTAGAGTTGCGACATTTTGCTGGGACTGGGGAACCTGGACTCCAGTCAGTGTCTCCTTTGAGGCAAAGCTCTACAGAGAGTCGAAGTACGGATGTTTGACCCTCGACGGAGGGACTGAGATGGCCCTTGCGACAGCTTGTGTCTCTTTGAAAGTCCTGATTGCCATTCATGAGACTTTATGTATACAATAGTGTACGTATATAAGTATATATATATAACTATATATACACAGTGTATATATATTATTGTATATTATATATTATTGTTACTGTTTGTCTTTAATGAATCTTCTTGAGATTTCTCTTGAAATCTCCTGTTCCCGAAACGATCCAGTTGTTTCTCCACATCGGGCACTTGCTTCAAGGATCGGCCATGATGAGAGCTGCGGCCTGACATTCTTGAATGCTATGTACGAGGCGTTGAAGTCCGGCTACAGCTCGGCCGAATCCCTCGTTCCTGAGGCAGCCGGTGCTGAGTTTGCGTCGCTGTGTTGCTTCATTTTGCTTGTCGCTAAACAGCGAATCGGCTGAAGGATGCGGAAATGCGGAAGGGCAAACCAGGACAGGATTATATAGTTTCGGTGTACGATCCTGTCATTGGCCAGGTCAGTTGCCAGTCTCAATCCAAGCAGGACAAGCTGACAATAAGTCATCATCTCAGTCCAGATTCTTTGCTTCATAGAAGGCCTTAGATTGTTGACGCCGCAGCCGCATTTAGAACAAGGCCGCATATCCAATTTTCTTCAATTATCCTCACATGTATTTTACTATTTTCTATGTAATATACAATATACATACATATATGTATATAGTATTTTATACTATATTACGAAAGCCAGCCGATAGGCATGGCCGAGTCCTCGATGGGCGAACGAAGTGAGTAATAGTGGGGGGGGTCGCAGGACTGTACCCGCCGGGTAGGGTGAACCCGGAGCCTGGTGGGAGCACGTATGTTTTTACGGATCTTGGTGATGCGAATGATACAAATGACGCGAGACTATTTAGATTATCTACGTGAGTCCGGGTAGAGGACAGGAGAGGGGAGACTGAGTGCAGGTGCCCTTTTTTTTTGCGTGAGAAGGGCCCTAAGCTGGAAGAAACAGGGCACTTCCAGAACTGTAAATGTCCAAGAGAGCTGGACAACCATACACGAGCGTGGGATCCAAGTCTATCCTATGACCAGTGACAGTGGATTTGGGTTGGTCAAAAGCCTTGTGGATATAGGCTCTATCATATCGGCCCTTAATGTAAAGCTTTGCGTATCCCTGCCTTCTGCTTTCCCGTGGCTAACAACCGTAGACGTAAGTGCAGCTTCGACTTCACTCTATAACAACAAGAATATATTATTGCAGGGGCTGGCTTTCGCCCCTCCCTTCTCAGGTAGCATATACAAAATCATGTATTATATATATATATCTATGTGTGTGTGCCGTGCTTGTCAAACCAAGGTGAAGAGGCCATGCCGCGTTTCCTGCCACCTTGCGCACCGCGTCTGGTGGATTTCGCGAAAAGCACTTGCGCTTTGGAAGGAGAGGGAGAAGAGGCATGTTGGAGAAGCTGTGTAGTGGATTGTCGTCTTGATGGAGTGGTCCAATATGCTGAGATTGTGATAAAGTGTGGCCCGCAGCGCATTTGTAGGTCCTTTCGATGCTCAGTCAGCCTTTGAAGTTCATCTCACAGAAGTTCGTCAGTGAGTTCGAGGACGCTCATCAAGCGCTGAGATGAAGGTCCACACGTAAAAACAGCTGTGACAGGTGTGTATTTTTCGGTAGGAGACACTGGAAATCCCCGACAACCCTTTCAGCCAAGAGCGTTTGGCGGGGTTGCCGGGTGGAATGACGCGTATTGGAGCCGAGATCATCAAGGGCAAACTCGAGGGACACGTGAAGTCCTCAGTGGTCGCTTCACATTTAAAGAGAGACACAAAAAAGGATGGTAAGGGCTCTTGAAAGGGGGCCTTCTAAAAGGAACCCTTATCTTTTTTTTGAACCTTTTGTTTACCTTTTGTTGACCTAGGATGTCTACCTGAAGAGGGCCCGAAGCCGAAAAGGCCAGATGAGGGAGACTTTGCGCATCCCCAAACATCACAAGTTTTGGCATTTGAAGGTGCAACCAACACTTGACACATGTGACAACGACAGCACCTCACTTCACCTATCCTCACCGTCACCCCTTTTCTCGTACAAGTTTGTTCAGTTTCACGGTCGCAAAGCAGCGTGTTGCCTTTTTAAGACCGCACAAGAAGTACACGTTCCAGTTTGTTCAGTTTGGTTTGGTTGCCTACTTGCAGGCTTTGAATGTATCCCCATCATGTATCTCCCTTTGCAACAGAAACCTTTCTTCGCCTCATGGACATGTGTAACAAAGTGTACTTCTATAAGTTTTTTCCAAGTAGGACACCAATACTCTTCCAAAAGGGGCAGGTTATGTGAGAGTCAGCTTCTACTTGGGAGGCTTTGGCCTCAAGTGCATTCCTCAAAGACCTGACGAAGATGCATTGGCAAGTGCACTGGACACCCTTCAAGAGCCACTTGGATTGAAGATTGATGGGACAAACACCCAGCTGTGGCCCCAGAGTCTGGAAGAGGATGCAACGATGAGTATGGAGCATCTAACGCTGAGTCGTCTTCTTGCACTCATTGAGTTGTTGTTGGCCGATGTTTGCTAATTACAGCATTCCCAACTGAGTGTCCTGGATGAAGGCGTTTTAACCTAAATCAATCCTCATCAATGTAGACTGTTAGTTTGTCTTGACTGATGTGTCAGTTCCCAGATTCCCTTTACCAAGAATTACAGCAGTTCGACAATGTTTGGGCACACGGTCGTTGGAGTTCAGTCTCATTCTGTCAGGGTGATCGCACAACTTCCCAAGCACCTGATGAATCCTGATGACTGATGTCCTTTTTCCATTTTTGTCTTGCTGTGACATTGACTGTCGACCTCTAGGTTGGAAGACGAAATCAAAGCTTGTTGGTCACACGATCTGGAGTGCCCTAGCAGCAGTTTCTCAAACTGAGGCTGTTTTGAACTCCACTCAGGAAGTGCCAGCTTGGCTGACGAAGTGTAATGCTTTAACTCTTGAGTTCAATCTCAAGACTGCAAGTATTGCGGGATCGCCTGCCTAGGAGGGTGGCATCATTGCGGAAGGAGCTCCTGAAAAGGGCGGACTTAGCTCCTGAGGACAAAGGTGACGGCACGCTTTTCTGGCTTGGCCGCGCACTGTTGGCAGACAGATATGTTTGATTTTACTGAATGATTAAAGTTGTTTATATACTAACCTCAGAGATGGAACCAAGGACGAGGAGGCAATGAAGGCCACCTTTGGCTGGAATGGTGTATTGGTTCTGACTCTTGTTACATTGAAGCCTAAGTTTCCCCAAAAATCTAGGAACCAAATCACTAGTTCGAGCGCTTCGTCAAGCCCCCGCGGCCCTCAGGCAGGGATGAGCTTCCTTGAAGAAGCGTGAGCTATCCTGCGTCCAGTAGGTAATAGCTTAAGTAGCTAGCAGCTCACTCCCTTACTAGTTAAGTAGGCGCCTAAGAAATCAAGCAAGGGCGGGCTAAAAGAGAACAAGAAACTCCGCCAAATTGAGTAGGATTCACCCTGCAAGCATGGCCACCCACTTGGCCGCCGCTAAGGAACTCGACAGCGTCCGCGAGTTCAAGGGCTGTGTGGCAGCGGTCAACAAGGTGCCCACTGTAACCAAGAACCCAACGGGAGGGCAGATTCAGATGAACGGACATTAAAATACACACATACAAGACTATGTTTAACGTTAGGCACTTCCAATCCTCTAACATGTGAATCAACACTAGATAAAACTAGTGCAGTTTTTGTGGTTTGTACGAGCTGGTCAGGTGGTGGACACCAATGCTGCCATGCAAGTGGGCCGTGGCATTCTTGGTTTGATGCTCTACGTCAATCGCCACTTGCTGTGGCATCAAGATGTCTAGGAGAAGATACAGCAAACTTGGCCAAATGATCAAACGACCATAAACTCCAGCTGCTAGCTTATGGCTTACGGCTTGCGGTGCTATGAAGATTGGGATGCCGAGTTTTTTAGATTGGCTTTATTCTTGTTGAACCTGCTGAACTGGATCCGTTGCACTCTTGACTTTGAGCAGATGACACTTCTGGCAGATTCATTCAATTCATCTCTGATATGTTTGAATTTGTGGCGTTATTTTTTCTGTCCATGGTGCTGTTGCAGCTATAGCTTTAGCTGCTAGTGATGGTTACCGTAGAGCCAAAACTGGTCCTGGGTGTATGCCCCAATGTCAGTAAGCTTTGCCTTCTTCACACTTTAACTGAGGAGTAGCACAAGCTCAACTGGTCTTGGGCTGTTTGCAAGATCTACGCGGGGCAGTGAAGCGCACCCAAAGCAAGGGCATCGATGAAATTGCCTGCAAGGATGTTGATTTTTCTGTTGACATCATTCTTTGAGCCTTCGCCAGCTTTGATATCAATGTGAGTGAATCTGATATGAGGTGAGTGTGATGGTTCCCAGCACACTTCTTGGCAGGAGTTACAAACGCTAGCCGGGCGTGTGGCCATGTTCCTCGGGTGTCAGAGGAATTACACAACTGGTGACCCCGAGATCTCACCGGCATTCCTGCTGTTGCTTGGTAAAAAGTGACCAAACGTAGTTTCTATGAACAACGCGAAGGTTGCTCGTGCAGAGATTGTCAACAATTATATATATACAAGGTTTTCGTGAAATCCCAGTCCCGTCTTTACAGTCTAGGAACGTCTATAGGCTGTAGGATACAAATGCTATGGGGAAGTTCCTTAGGGAGAAGCAAAGTTGATGAGCCTTGAGCGACCAAGGTTCGAGTACGTCACTGGCTTCATGGTTCGCAAGCAGCAGGCTTGTGCATGCAGCCTTGACCCAGTGCGGTGATTGTGCGCTTTGACCATTATTGTTATAGTACTGCGTGTACTGGTCTGTTTTGGAGTCTTTGTTCTGACTTTTAAAAAATTATCAAATCATATCGAATCTCCAACTTTTGGAGAACTTTTTGGAGAGCCAGACTTGAGAAGCTGCCAGACACCCCGCCAGGTGACCCTCATCCGGCGCTTTGCTGAGGAGGCTTTTAATGGCCGATCGTTGGTGGCGCAGATGATCATGGGCTGCTTGCCTGCATGCTTTCTTTTTCGCCAGATAGCGCAAGCTATTGGGGTTCTTACTTCAAGTATAGGAGGAGGTGCCTGTGTTCGCTTTGAAGCTTGGGAGCTGGTGCCGCTGCAGAGTGCCGGTGCGCTTTGGAGGCTGGTTGCTGGTGCAGGGTGCAGAGTGCCACTCCAGGGTGCTGCTGCCAGATGCTTATGGGAGTGTGGGGCTTGGAGCCTGCATGCTGGTGCCACTGCAGAGTGGCGCTGCTTATGTGCTGCCCACATCTTAGCTATTTGGGCTCTATGAGTAATTTGTTTTTTAAGCGAAGCTGAGTAAATTATGCTTCTCCTTTTCCGTATGCCCTCAGTCCTCAGCTTAGCTCTCCACAGGACATGTATACTGTGTTTACCCTGTGCTTACTGCCACTTGTCAAGCTGTTTGATGCTACGCATCCAGAATTCTCACATCAACATGGGGATACATGATGTAGATAGAGGGGTCAGGTTGCAGAATACGCACTTAGTCCATTGTTGTTGGCTGTTTGCAGCAACTATTGGTATTTTGCTGCAATGTTGTTGCATGCATAGCTGCATAACAATAGGATAGTCAAAGCTTCGCTGAAACAACACCGGAAGGCCAAAAACCAGCACAAGGAAGATAATCCAACGTTTGGTTCAAAATGGTTTGCTTTATCCATGGTGTTCCTTCCACGCATTTTATTCTTTGTGTTTACTCCAACACAAGAAATTCCTTTCGCAGTCCCAAGAATTTGTACCTTCCACGACGGCATGAATAGATATCGGCATACGTATCTATCTACAGCTATCTATATTTACCCGCAAACTGTTTTGGTTGCTGCGCACCAGAGATCGCTGCTGAGGTGCCGGCAAGACCACCTGCATCGCACCGATGCTGACTTTGCTGCTTCTTGGCTGTATAGTCTATATATTTGGCTCGATTAGACTTTTCTCTTGGATTATCAAAGATATCCGACATGCATCGCAGGTTGGGCAATGATGGGCGCTTGGTATTGAACATCGTCCCCCGAGCACTGCTGGCACAGACAAGGAATGTCATGAGGACCCTTGGAGACGGAAGAGGTCATGCCGTAGAGGATTCTTAATTTTCTTGGGGAGTGCCATTCAATCCATACAACTTAATGCAAAGACCTGATTAATAAACCGCCCCCCCCCCACATGGTAGGTCAACAAGGTCAAGAAGATATGAGATAGCACTCATGAGGTCCACCTCCCCTGAATAATCTGCTAATCGGCTAAGAACCGAGTGGGAATAGTAGTAGTAGTAGTAGTAGTAGCAGCAGCAGTAGTAGTAGTAGCAGCAGCAGTAGCTGTAGCTGTAGCTGTAACTGTAGCTGTAGCTGTAGCTGTAGTAGTAGTAGTAGTAGTAGTAGTAGTAGTCGAACAAGTACCAATCCAGTAGTAGTAGTAGTAGTAGCAGTAGTAGTAGTAGTAGTAGTAATAAGAAAAATCGACCTGGTGGTGGGCTCGGATTAACTGGGGTACCCAACTAGGCAATTGGGGGGAAATAAGCCACAAATACTACTTGTAATATGGGCAATTTTCGGGGTTTTTTGCGGCCTCGGAGGTTTATTAATCACGAGTTTGCATCACTACAGTGTACGAACATGTGATGACTGCGGTAGAGCCCAGGCGGTGTCAGTGCAATGCTGGCTTTGACTTGTGCCGCATTACCTTTCAGTGTGAAACGGACTGTCCAAAATGCGAAGCCAGGACGATGTTTGGCCAGATCCTTGCAAAACGTGTCGTGACCTTGGAGTTCAGCCGGATGATGGGCCAGGACTATGACTTGTATTCTGCTTGTATCTTGAAGTTGACATGGCATGGATGATTCCACTGTATTCTTGTCAAAGCCAAAGCCACTGTTAGTTTGGCAGCCATGGCGTTTCTCATTTCTTGGGCTCAAGAAGGTCTCGTGTAGCCTTCCACGCCCGCGCCGTCCCACTTCGAGTTTGAAATACAGTAGTGGCTAGCAGAAGCTATTTTGGCTATGAAGGTTTTTGTGCATGCCCTCAGTGGAAACTCCTGGGTGGTTGATGGCCAGCAGGGCTGGACAGTGTTGGATGTGATGAATGCTTTAGAGGCCATCTCCGGTGTGCCTCGACGAGACCAGAGACTTGTTTCGGACCTTGAAGAGTTGAAAGAAACCGACCTTCTTTGCAAAAGAGGCGACCGCCAACATGCTGGACATGAACCTACTGGAGAGCAGGATGAGCAAGAAATGCACATGTCCTTGCTGGTTCGAAATCCAGAGTCTGGCAAGCTGCTGGAGGAGATCAGTGCCTCTGAGTTCCCTCAAGATCTCTATCGATGTGCATCGGAGCAACTTCGTGGTGATAGAGAAGTCACTTTAGCAGTTGTTTCAAGGCACGGCTTCTCGTTGAAATTCGCATCCAGTGACTTGCAAGACACTTACGATGTCGTGCTCACTGCAGTCCAGCAAACCGGTGCGGCCCTCGCATATGCATCTGCGAGCATGAAGGCCAACAAGGAAGTTGTGATGGCTGCCGTAGAGCGGCATGGTGCTGCTCTGGAACATGCCTCACTGGATTTGCAGTCTGATCGAGAGGTTGTTTTGGCAGCAGTCTCAAACCAGGCTCGCGCGCTTCGCTTTGCCAGCGAGGACTTGCGAGCAGATTCTGAAATCGTCTCGGTGGCTGCGTGCAAGGATGCTGGAGCACTAGCATTTGTGACTTCGTCGAAGGTGTTGGGCGACAGAGATGTCATGGAACCAGTCGTGGATCGTCACCCCTTTGCCCTGCAGTATGCAGGAGAAGAGCTTCGATTCGACTGGTCTTTTCTGCTGCATGCGATTGAGAAGAACCATTCGGCTTTGAATTATGCTCCAGAGGAGTTACGAGCCCATGGAGAGTTCATGTGCCTGGCGACTCAAAGGAACAACTGTGCAAAGCAGTATGCCGCACAGTCCCTTAGGAATGACATCGCAGATCTCATCAGCATCCAGAAGTGTGGAACCGGTCAACCTGCTGACATGCAGGATTTGGTTTGGCCATGCTATGCCAATTAAGGATCTTCATGCTCGACAAGAACTTCTGATAGGTGGGACGCAGATCACATTTGCAGGGCCAGTGTGCTCGTAGTATAGGCGGCAACGTTCCAAACCGCCCCAACCGGCGAACCTGGAATCTTGACCGGATTTGAAAAGTGTTTAACCTTTTTGCAGAGCGATAGAAATAAATATATTTATATGTTTGTTCCCAAATCTGCCTCTGTCGGGGTTCTACGCTTTTGTGCAAGAATATTTCTATGTGTTTCTGCTTCATAAAACCATTGGTGACATGCGCGCGAGCACAGCGGGAACCCTCCTTTTCATAGACAAACTTTGCAGGTGTAGCCTAAGTTTTTGTGCCAGCCTTTGCCACTGAGAAGTGAGCTCATTCGTAGAGTCCATCGCCGACCAAAGCTTCTAATTCATGCGCTGAAGCGCGCTAATTCGAAGGAATTCTATTGCAAAGAGCTACGTGGGTTGAGCTGGGACTCCGATGGAACGCTTCTCATGTAATTCAAGCTGCTCCTTTAAGCAGGTGGTTGGCAAGCTTATGCAGAGTATGCAAAGTGCAGCTTCAACAAGCTTTTCCACTCCTGAGAAATATCAACTACAAGCTCTTGCAGTGGGTTGTGGTCTGATGAATAAAGCTGCGCCATTCCATTGATGTTCTCCCGCATTGGCTTTGGCTGCAGGAAGATCCCTTCGATGTCAAGTTGGTGAAGATGCAACTCTTTGATGCCCAACGGGATGCGGCAGTCGTTTGTACCACACCTGCAGCTCTTTGATTAGCATTTTGCGAAACATTTGTGCTTTGCAGACACAAAGGCTGCTGGAACTCCGAGGCTATCAAGTCCATGTTCCTGCGACATTTGGAGTTGCTGCAATTGAATCACATTTTAGCATCCACCATGAAAAAGTATGAAGACCAGATGTACAAGGCCCAGATGAACTCAGCCCATTGTGAAGTCAGAATGCCTCACACTAAGACTGATGCAGCGGCAGTTCAATGTGAGCCTCATGCTGCACCCACAACTAAGGTGACATGATGAAGTTGTGAACTCTTAGCTGGTGGATGGTATTACTTTACTAGAGTTCATATTACAGTTCATCCTACCAGTTCATACCTCCAGACAAAGAGGAGCGGTTGGAACATATTGGAATGTATGTTGTTTTCTAATAGCATGTTTCTTTTTGACCCCAGAAATGGCTCTTGTCACACGTGGTTGGAATGTCGTACTACTTGGAAGGCCTCTGATTCTGTCTCGCAAACGCGTATCAAGAAGCGGATGGATGATGTGAACAAGGACTCAAAAACCACAAAGCGCTGACTCTCATTCAGGAACAAGAACGCTACTAGGGGCTCCTGGCCGTACTACTAGGAGCAAGGACGTTACTAGTAACAAAGGGCATCGCTACTAGGAACAAGAACGCTACTAGGAAGTCTGAACATCAAATCTCTGTGCAACTGTCCTTGATGTACATTTGAAGGATATCAATGGCAACCGTGTTATGGCTGGCTTTATTGGTGACGTCTTGGTGGCTTGGCAGTCATTGAAACGAGCCGTGAAGACCGTGAAGGTCCTGAAATCCTCAAATTGCCATGGAGTCCATGGAGAGTCCATGGAGTCTCCAAACATCTTCAAACAATACTTACTTTCTGGCTGGGTCTCATGGCTCTTCGAGTTCTAACAGCCAAGGGCATGCTTCGCAACAACAGCTGTGCTCTCATTGATGAGGCCATTCAGCAAAGAGACTCAAGTCATGGTGTGATGCAGCGTCTTTCGGGTCTCTACATGACTAAACTGCAAAGCAACGGTCATGCAGTCAGTGCTCCAATGTGCAGGTCGATCTTGTGTTGCATCCCTTGAAGTCCGAGCTGAATTTCCCAATCGGGAGCTTCGAAATGTGCGCAAACTCCATAATTGATGCTTCATATTGTAATGGACCACAAGAACTAACTCCATAGACTAACCACAATGGATGGGCTGGTGTTCAAAGATTTGCAGGTACGACCTGGGTTGTGACCGGTGGCACTTAGCTGTGCACTTGCTAGACGCACTGTTTTTGACTGACGAGGGGCACGCAGCTGCAGGCTGGGGGGATCGTTGAATGATGAAGCGTGCTGCAAAGACAAATCTGTCAATGTCTTGTGCAAAGCGTCTTGATCAGGCATATTCTACCCTGATATCCGCAATTGTGGTGGCAAGGCCTCTTGCCGCTGTGGAAAAGATGCCATTCACGAATGCTTTGCATCCAGGCTGGCGCAGCAGCTGCAGAGCGCATCTCGCAGCTGGAGCAGGAAATTCCTGAAATTGTGAAGAAAGGCATGGATGGAGTGTCTTGCAATGGTGTTCAGTCATGTTCAGTTCTTTCTCTCTTTTACTTTCTGCACGATCGGCACAACCAATTGCTCCTGAACCATGTAAAGCATCACCCCCCTGCAGGTTACGACCTTCTGACACTGCAGAAGCAACCACATTTGGTGCTGCTCAGCCGGGCATGGTACGACAAAAACCTTCTCAGGCTGGAGAATCTGATGCAACTGCACTGACCATGCTGCACTTTACGACACATAGCCGCCACAGGCCCTTGGCAGACTGGCTGGCATGCTGGATTATCACCCGACCAGAGGCGGAGATGCATCAGGGTCTGGGCCGTTGGGTACCGGAGGGATAGAGTCTGTAAGCAAAGCATAGATGTGAGAACTGTGGAGGCAAAGACTCTGTTGTTGGTCCAGAGTCCATGTCCCTTCCAGGCTGGAAAATTCCGAAGCGGTGTGGAATACAACGATGTCTGCGAGTTCCTCTCGATGGACTTGACAGATCTCCTGAAGTCAGATGTAAAGTCCAAAGTCGATGAGAAGACGAAGGCACCACTATTTCGTCTGAGGTTCTGCAAGCAATGGTTCGGACGCAAAGTAGTTGTGAACAGGCTGCTGAAAACAATGTCCCCAATCAATCCTCAGTATTTTGTAGCCCATTTCATGGGTACTGCCTGCATTTTTGTAGCCCATTTGGGGTCAATTGCAGCATCCACCGTCAAAGTTGCTAGGTCCATTTCCTGAGCCCTTGCACTATTAGATGTTCGATTCATTTCGATTCAGCCGATCCCGGTGCTTTGCATGGGTAGAAGAGTCAGTCTGTGCTGGGCGCTGATCTCACATGGGGCTCACCTGCAGGCTGACAGCAAGATTGGCAAGCTCTTGACATTGGGCCGTGAATGGCTTTTCCAGCTCGTTCCGCATGTACTTTCAAAGGTGAATCGAGTGCAGTGCTTTGGACAAATGGAGAGCCACATTGTTCGGAACAGGGACCGCATGGAGATTGAGATGCATTGCCCTTTTGTATCAGGTATGGCCTGTTGACTGAACGAGAGTTGGCACTTCCAGAGAACCAGAAGGCATGGGGCAACAAATAAGAAATATCATGAAACATGCTTTTATTATTGAGTTGGAGGCCATTACAATTAGGTTGGAGGCCATCGCTTCTAGGCTGGAGGCCACCGCTCTTAGGTTGGAGGCCATCGCTATTAGAAACAAAGATAAAAGAAAAGTCCCTTCAGGTCCACTCAGCATTCCAGAGGATATTTGCGTCAAAGAAGCAATCGGAGGATATAGGCGATGCACGGTGGCCCTTCCAACTCTTCCCCTTTGCAGGCACCCACAAGCCGCCGCTTGCTGGCTGTACCCTTCGTCGCAAAGGCACCGATCCACAGGTTGACCCTGCCATGATGTTGTATTTTTGGGGTCAAGCAAGCCAACCGTTGACAAACATGGAAAGGCACACACACACACACGTTGACTCGTTTTTGCATCCCATTGCCCCGTGTGTTTGGACACTTTCAACTTGGCAACGCGATGCCTACGATTGACAAGCGGTGAGCACCAGGACAAGCCCAGCCCCGCAGCAGAGTTTGCGCAGCCAGATGTTTTGATTGGCTTTACAGTGTAGAGAACTGAGATCAACGGCATGCTAAAAACAGATCAGAACTGAGATCAGGGCAGGAAGTCACGTGATGTGAGTGCTGAGGTTAGCATATCGATACGAGGGCATGCGCTTGTCTGATACCGTCACCATGTTGCATCACCTGCAGATGAAGTCAGGGAGGGCCGCAACCTCGGATCACTTACATCGTTTCAGAGAAAGGTTGTTTTTCATGCGGCTGGATGCTGCTTACCTGGTATACCTCGCTTGTTTTGTGATACCTTTATGCGTTTTCTTTGCAGTTCTCCCAGCCCTTGTAAAGCCTTTTACAATAGCACTTTCAGGAATCTGGCCCGTGGAGTTCCCGCCCAACGTGTGTGCTCTTTGAGAGGTGGAAGGACCGCAATAGGCAACAGTGAATTACTTTCCTCATGATAAACATCTGGTCTCATTGAAGAGTGCCTGCAGGAGATCGGCACCAAGCGCTACAAAGAGAAGGGTGGAAAGTCATCAGTTGGAGGTAGGGTGCAAGCTATCCTAGTGCGACTGTAGCATGGAAGCAGATGTACTAACTTGGTTTGTGCGTATCATGTTTGATTGTGATAGTGATTGCCTGCCTTAAGAGATCATTGGTTTTAATTCAGTTCTAATTTGTTTTCACCGTTCGTGGTTTTCAAATCTTCCGCTTGGCATTGGAGGCCTTGGCCCCTTGAACTGGGAGGTGAAGCTTGACGAGTGGAAGAAGTTGCCAAGCAATATCACAGTCCTTCGGCGGAGAAGTGTCCAAGTCGACGGAGAAGAGCGGTGAATGTGATGATATCACAAAACTTCACAGACAAACACTTTCTCCATGTTTCTCCCTAAATGGATGTTGGGAGAGTCTTCATACCATTTTGGCAGAGTCTTCATTCTCTCCATGTTTGCAGCTAAATCGTTGAGCGGCTGGGAGTCCATCGGATTGCTCAGATGGGCGGACGTGTCTTGCTGGATCAAGTTCAGGCTTTCCAGGCGTGATCCAACCGAGGAATTGCTGCGGGAAGCTGTGGCCATGAAGAAGACTAAGATCCAATTCACAGGAGATACACATTTCTTTATGCGCTGCATGATTCTTCATGATTCTTCTATCCATTGAAGGCTCAATCTGATCAACATCTGCTCAAATGCTTGTGTTTGAATGAGTTTGAATGCTCATTTGAGATGGCAAATCTGGAGCTGAAGGATTTGGAGCCCAGCCCTATGAAATCGACCTAGCGACTCGTTGGCAACGGAATAGGCCAGCATTCCTATTGCATATTTGTTTGTCTCAGGAGAAGATGGTTCAAGTGAATCTGAAATCGAAAAAGGAAAGAGAAATCAGACAAGTAGAAGAATCAGCAAAGAGGCGAGAACGGTGCCACTAAGCCCAAGCGCCAACCCTCAAGTTTCAGCGTGACGTGCCGGCAAGGTAGAGACAAAGACTTTGTTGTGAAACACATGGCGCTGGGGATGCTCCACAAAGGGAGCTGGATGAAACTTAACAATGAATACAGTAGTCCAAGCTTTCACACAAGATGATACTGGTATGTTGGGCTACTGCTAAGCAAGGCTGGTGCAACTCTGTCACTTGATATCTGAAGACATTCAGAAGTTTCCCCAAAAATCTAGGAACCAACGGAATAGTGCGAGCGCTTCTTCAAGGAAGCTCCCCCCGCCGCCTTTAGGGCGGCAGGGGGAGCTTCCTTGAAGAAGCGTGAGCTATCCTGCGTCCAGTTATATACTAAAAGCTTACTAGTAGCTACTAGCTACCTAGCTACTACTGTACCTCCGGCTTTTAAAAAACAACTTGGATCGAATGCCCCGGATTGATTGCAGGGGCGAAGATCTGAAACTTCCGGAGCTTCAAGCCCTCTCCTCCTCTACTGGAGATGAGGCGTGCCTATCCTCTACAGTGATGAGGCGAGCCTGAAGCCACTGAAGCTGTTGCCTGTTTTTGAGGAAAGCAAGAAAAAGAAGGAAAAGAAAGATGATGCTCCAGCAGAAGGTGAAAGCGAAGACCCTCTGCTCAAAGGCCACACCGTTTCTTTCCCTATTTGTGTCACTTGCTGTCTCATTCTTGTTGTTCAGGCACTGCGAAGCGTGAAGAGGAGAAGCCACAAGGACATGCCCAGGCAAGCCTCGCATGAGTTTTGTTGGGCTTTTTGTAGTAGCAGGGTGTGTTTGTAATTTGGTGGCATGCTTCAATCATTGCATGCGGAAAGGTGGCAGTGGAATTGCTGGGTCCTGTGCCAGAAATCGTGCTGTGGTATTTACTTACCATGGTTTTTGACGCAGTTCTGTCCCTTGGCTGGCTAGATTTCGCACAAAGTATCTAACAGTTGCACAAGCACCGTGCCTTTGATTGTAGAACTGCTTAGGCGCCAACAGCCCTACAAGCTATCTGCTACTGGACAAGAGCTTGGATCATCCATGTTGTTCAGCTCCCGAATAGGTGCCGGGCGGGAGCGGAGAAGCAAGCCTGCAGACAGACGTGGAGCAAGACACACCAGAGATGTACTTGTTACTAGTAGCTTCTTGCTCCTAGTAGTAGTATGGCCAGGAGCTACTACTGTAGTAGCGTCCTTGCTCCTAGTAACGATGCCCTTTGTTACTGTGAGAGATTTGGAGACGCCGCTGATTGTGCCTTGTAGGCTTTTCCGGCACTCCATCGTCGCTTTTGCCGGAAGATCTAGGTGAATGCCTGTTTGAGGCTGAGAATGAAGGCTGGGTCGGAAGCCAAAAGGTTACATGTGACATATCATAGATTGAATATATAAGTCACACTGAGATTGATGCAGCAGCTCATAGGTATGCATTTGCAGGTGAAATCTTGTCTGTCCTTAGCGACGAGCAGCATGTGGTTCCACCTTTGATCCACTTAGCCGCTGATTGGTCACCTGAAAGCATTTTGATACTTGGATGCAGCCGTCATAGTTGATGGTTAAGCGGTGTTGATAGAGGCTTATGTAGACCGACATCTTTGCATGCAATTAGAGATCAGTATCTATGATATTATTCTATGATTTCTGTTGTCCCATATTGAACAAGACAAAAGACGCAGCGTTGCATTCATGTCAGGAGCATGGTGGCAAAGAGTAAAGACCCAGTTTACCACTGCTTGATTGACACTGGAGCACTGGTCATGGGCTTCACGAATGAAGAAGTTGCAAAACTGATGCTCAAGATGCTGCCAGAAGAACTCTTTGACCCTTGGTATGGCAAAAGAATGAACTGGAACTGGTGTAGTGCTCAAAACATTTGACACGTGGACGCTGCGCACTGCATCTCAAATATTATGCATCATCAGCCTCTTTTGCAGGATGGCGTGGCCTACTTTGATGACCACGATGCCCCTATGGTGATCCTGCGTGGTGCCGTTAAGCCTGTTACTTTGCTTGCGTTTGTAGCTGAGTGGGCTGGGGTCAGGAGTGCAATGCTCAGTGACTTTGCGTGGGCTGACATGTTTTTTTCCATCTCCTCTTCCCTTCAGTGTTGGCCAGCTCTACATTCAGCTCTTTTGTTTGTGCGGAGCTGGATCAAGGCTTTGCTCAGTGAAGCTGGAGTACCTATGAACCGGCGATTCACATTCTTCGACCAGGCGAGCTAGAGTCACAACAGAGTCAGGAAACAGAGATTATGCTTTCACACCTTCCATGTCAACGGAAGGTGCATACTACTGGCACAGACACCAAACAACCACTGCAGAGTTATGCAGCTTTGACACTGTCCGCCTCGATGACCTTCCGTGACTATGCGCCCCTTGACTGCCAAGTTGTCTGTGGACGGGGATGAGGCAACACCATGCAACTCCGAAAGGCAGTGCTCTTGTCTACACAAGTTCAGGTTCAAGTCGGTGGTTTTGGTCAAAACTCTACATCTTTGTCAACTGGTAGGCTGATGTCCGCCGTACTTCCTAAACGGCAGGCTAGGAGAGAACAGGTTGACTTTGACACAGTAGAGCCCTCAGGCAAGGAGCATGGCGCATGCGTGGCTTGGGGAAAGGCCAGAAGCTCCGTCTCTCGACACATTTTGTGATGGGACCTTCAGGTAGAAAGAGCTTGTGAATTTGCCTGTGCTCTCAGCCTAACTAAGGAGCTTCTAATGCATTCTAAAGTTAAAGCTAAGGGATGATGATTGCCCCAGAGCTGGCGAAGAAGGTAGCAGGGGTGGTGAAGACTGATGGGGAGCTTGGCCTTCACGACGCGGTGGCCTTTATGTTTCTTGGGAGCATAGAACAAGTGACACTTGGATTGAAGCCGCTTGGTTGAAATTGCCAATTGATTCTGTAAGGTTGTCCAACCAATTTGACTCCGAGGGATCAGAGCTCAGCTTTCTTAGCACAGCTGTGTTGTGTTTGTTTGTGCATCATCAACTGATGCTGTGTGGGCATGCTGTGCCACTTCTTTGACTTAGGCAAACAATTTGCCGCCTTGCAACTACAAAATCTGGCAACGGTTTGGAGGCAGCATGCGCTAGATGACTTGATGAAAGAACCAGAGGTGAAGAAGCGAGAATCAAAGGAAATGCGAGATCAGGCGGCTGGGCAACTGGCGGACCACATTTTATTTGTATGTAGCCACCGCATTGCTCAGCCACAAGATGCGAGTAATGCATGTTTGTATCAGTAGCATTACTTGCACTGATTTGTGTCGACAGAATCTGTCTTAGAAATCACAAACAAGTTGAAGTTCTTTAGTGTTGCGCCTGACTCATGAATCATGCCTTTCCAAACTTACTTTCTGGATGGACGCCGGTACCATATCCCACAAGCTCAGTCAGGTGGAAGCCTTTTTGGAATCCTTGCGCTTCCCTGTTGAGACCAACGTGCATGAGCCTTTGACCTTGGATCAAAAGATGCAGAATATGACAGATGAACAGGCAGAGCTGACGGATGTTGCCCAAGTTGGTTTGAAGAGTCATCTCGTAGTAGCTCCTCAAGGATGTTTGTGCTTGAGCAAGAACCTACTTGGCGCAATTTGTTGCTCGGGTGACGTTAGTCACCTTACCATGAAACTGCATCGACGGCGCAGAATGCAGCTGTCCCACTCCAGGCACATATCATGAATGAGAAGGAGAAGGGGCATTGTGCAAAGCTCATCAACGCAGCTCGTGGGAGTAAGGATGGTGGTGACCTCGGCGCCGAGATCACACGTCAACAGGACCATGATGGTTGGGGATAGTAGTTGGTGGATGGATGTTAAGTCCAGATTAGCCAGGGTTTGTATGGTTTTGTGCCTACACATAGTAAAAAAGAATGAACAAGATAGAAAAAGGTTGCAGATGGCTGCATCGAGTTCATGCTAGGATCAGTGGCAAGATGTTTCAAGCAACGCTTAGATAAGCTTGGAATTTGTGAGTTTGGAAGACTCCAGCCGTGCATTTATGCTTGGACTCTATCTGAAGGATTGTGTTTCCTTGCCAGGAGAAGGAACAAGAGAAGCAACAGGAAAAGGAGAAGGAGGTTGAAGTTCATGTTGGCCGCGAGCGTGAACGTGAGGCAGGTCGATGTCGCCATCTTGGTGCAAAGACACTTCAGATTCTGGCCTCAGATGGTCGATGATGGTCAAGAAATCCGTAACAGAAAATATGATAAACAATAATGTCAAGCCAAAGAGGCTGCCTATGACAACAAAAGAGGATGTGCTGCCCTTCCCAGGTGGAGTGGCCTTTGAAGATTTTGCAGAAAGAGAGCCAGCCAGAGGAGGCTGATACTTTAGATCATGTTGTAATAATGAAATGCTGCTGGCACATGTCAGCTTGTGATTGAATCGGAACAAGTTCCTGCGAATGATAGTTCAAGCACTTGATCCCGCTTGCAGTCTGTTTCAATTTAATCCTCTATGTTGTTTTGCAGTCCGGGGTGTTCTACCAGCTGGCAAAGTTCCAGATGTCCGGTTTGAAATGCAAGCTCAAGTGCAGTGGTTCTGCTTTGATCTCAACAAACCACACAGCAAACGCTGCTTGGCTGCAGGGTTGACTTGCCAGGCAAAATCTTACAGGTCAATATTGCATTTGATATGCTTTAGTTGGATATGCCATATAATATACGGCTTGGCAAGATTGGAATTGCATCAGATATATAATTGAAGTTCGTCGAAAACTATCAATGTTCTTTTGATACACTTAGTTCGGAATTCACGTCAATCAAGCAAAAGAAATAGGCTTAGCAATCAACATGATGATTTTCACTATCAGGATCTCAAAACAATGAATGTTCGCCGCATGAAGTCGGTGCTCATTTTGCTGGTCGTCGGCCCAAAGACCATGGCTGTGTCCATGGCGGAGGCACAGCAGATGTGCTGTATTTCCATGAGCTACTAGTAGATAATTGCATTACTACTAGTAACAAGAAGCTACTAGTAGCGATGCCCTTGTTACTACTAGCTTCTTGTTTCTCTTGCCTTTGGTGGCTTCGATCAGGTTTGATCACTCACATGTCTTCAAGTATTTGGTGTTGTGCTACTTCAACCCGCTGATTCAGACTGCTTCAGAACACGCTTTCATAGTTCATTTCGCTTCATGTTCCAATAGCTGCTTCGCAGGCGGCTGCGCTCCGACGAGCTAGGCATTTGGCTTCAGAACACCTCCCGAGCTCTGCGAACCTGTGGATTTGCTCAGGCGTAGTGACTCCAGTGCTAGAAACCTGAACGCTGAACACTTTGATACTGTTCATTGCCTTTGGACTTGGTCCTCTTTTGCGGTGTGGACAATTTCCCAATCTCTGCAGACTCCGCATGACCTGCGCAAACTCATTGAGCGTGCTGAAAAGGTTCGAAGAAGCTTCCGGACAGCTCGCAGAATCTGTTTGAAGCTCAAAGTCAATGATGCACTTCTCAGTGGGTGCAAGCATGACCTTTCACCACAAGGACTGAGTGATAATCCCACACTGCTGGCTGTTTGTCTTTCTTTGTAGCATGAAGCTCGCCATGAGCAGAGTTTGGCAAATAGTGGATTTGCTAGTCAAGAGTAGAGAAGGTTAATAAAGTACTACGAAACAAGCAGCGATGCTGATTCAGCCCACTGCCACACAATAGATTTTTTTCACGGTAGTCCGTCTTGTGCATGGTATTTCGATGTTAGGTTTGCCGATGGGCGGGTCATGATCGAGCCAGAGGGTGGTGTATTGAAGGCTGCTTGGGAAGAACGGAGTTGTAAGTTGGAAGCCTCTCGGGCTGAGAACCACACTTTGCACGACTTTGCACAATTTTCCATCAGAGATGCGGATTCTTGAGCCAGTATGGAGTATTCTTAACAGCATGTGCAGATCGTGCAGCTAAATGACTCCACTGACACTTTGATTCGCCTCGTGATTTCAGAATCCTGATTTGGTTCCTGATAGGCCCACCGACTAGAGGCTGCCCGTTGCCTCTTGCGCTTTTTCAACTGTGATCTTGACTTCAGGTGGGCCAGGTTGTTGATTGACTGAGTGGCAAGGAGATTCTTAGTTAGTTCAGAGACTCTAATGTATTCAGTTGAGTTGGATTAATGCAAGATATGTTTTCCTAATTTGGCTACAATATATAATTGTGTCCTCTCAATCTCAAGCCAGGCCAGAGGAAGTAACAAGCCACTTGGATTGATCCAGTCATGTTGGAGCACTGTGTTCCATCCTAGTGAGTGTTACTCTCCCTGGAACTAACATGCCCCCCTGTTTGTAGAGGAAATTTGCCTTCGAACCGGCCACTGTCCACTTCCATTTTAGTTCCAGGGAGTGTAACTTTTTGTTTCTTGGGTGGCATGCCTGACAGACCCCACACTAAGATTTATATATGGGATCGGGAAGGGTTGCCAGAGAATAGATTTGTCACCGCACCTCGAGTTTGAGAGCTTGTCAAAGCGAAAAAAAGAAAACTGAGAAAAAGTAGTAGCGATGCACTAACAAGCTCTTTTGCTACTAATAGTGATGCCCTTGTTACAAATAGGGATGCCCTTGGTCTTGACTTTGTGATCGGAAGAGTTGGAAACCCTTTAGGCTTCGGTGTCCCTGTGAGCATTGCATTCGCGCATATTGGCGCTGTTTACATTGCAATCACGGTTTACTCTTCAAGCGCACATGCACAAGAAGCATATTCCAGAGTATGACTGAGGCACAGTGAAGGCCCTCGAAGCTGGAGCCAATTCCAAACAGCGTCAGCATTTTGTGGAGACCCTTGGAGAGTGAACTCTTTGCAAATCGTTGCATTTCTTTGCACACAATTTTCTCAGAATCGTTATATGTGCTGAATGCCCGCGGAACTTGAAGAGCCTGCCAAGAGTTTCTCCTAGATCTGAGGACTGTGCTTGGAGCACGGCGTCGAGAAGCATGCGCTTGGCGCGACACACCTCTAGGCCTGACTAACCTGTTTTCGAGGCAATGCCAATGATCAGTGACACTTGATCCAGACGTTTGAGCGGAGATGAGTGGAGGCATTTGGAATAGATTTCAAATAAACATCTAGGAACCAAATGAGCAACCGCCAAAACGTGCAAAGACAGTAAAGAGCAGTCGTGATTTTGCGGAATTGGGCTAAGAGCTGCAAAAGCGATAGGCCTCCCTTAAAAGCGACAGCCTTGCTGAATCATGTCCTCTACTTGACAGTGCATTTTGGGAGACGCTCAAATGAGTAGTGCATGAGCTATCCTGCGTCCTACCTGGGAGCCTGTTTAGTACCTAATAGAGCTACTAGCTGCTACTAGCTTATCCCATAGAGTCTTTCTCTTATTACGTAGCGACCTCCCCCCAATGTCTTCTTCGCCTGCCAGGCGAAATCGTTAGAGGTGATGGTGCCAAGTTAGAAGAGCGTCAGCGGCTTGTGCAAAACTTGCCCCTCGGCTTTCGATTCCAACGCCAATCCTGGCTTCCAGCTTTATTAAGTGCTTCCAAGAATTCGGAGGCTCATGATTGCTTGGTTTGCAAGGTACGCAAACATGAAGGATCGCTTCAAGAGTGCAGGGGCATTTTTCAAAGTTCTCGATGTCAACGGTGACGGCGTGATCCAACATGAAGAGTTTCAGAGATCGATGAAGAAAGTCTTTAAAGGCCTTTCAGATCGAATTGCTTTGTCGAGGAATTTCGCTTTAAGGAAGTTTTCCAGCTTTGGCATTGTTTGCAAGCTATGTTGCACGTTAACATACACATTCAATCCGTTGTTTTCCTTTAGTCAATGGCAATGCTTGAACTAAGCAATTCTGGTCTGCAGCAATCGCCCTGCTGAAGGTGTCTTTTCTGCAGAAGATGTTCGAAAGCTTTTCAATGCTGCAGACTCCTCTGGCCGGGGCAATGTCACGTCCCAGGACATTTGCTAAGCAGAAAACCTGATAAACCTGAAAAAGGCATCGACTGTTCCAAGTGCAGGGGACTTCGTAATGAAATCACATGAACCATTTAGTAGCGTCCTTGCTCCTAGTAGTAAGGCCAGCAGCCCCTAGTAGCGTCCTTGCTCCTGAGCGGTAATTCTCTGTTAAGTGTCCATGGCTCAGAATACCTTCAATTCGTCGTTGGCCAAGCCATGTGGAGGACCTCCGGCAACTGCTCGAGTCTGGTGCGATGGCGGCTGGAGGTGTTCTGGCAAATGAGGCAGTTTGCTGCGAGTCTACCCCCCTGACTGACATGTGAAGGAGGTGAAGCGCAAGCGCAGCATGTGCAACACGGTACTGTATCAACTGCACGAAGCTTTGTCAAAATTGCAGTGCTTGTGGGTGGCATGGTGTTTCGATTGATTTGCAATAATCCAGCATAATTCTCGCAGGGTGCTGATGCTGATCCGGCGGATCCTCGCCCAAGCAGCCCAAGCAGTCCTTCCGCCCCAGATGAACCTGAGGACATTGCATGATCACTATGCGAAGTCTTGATATGTCTTGATTAGTGTAATTCAATGTTAATTCCTTTTGTGCAGATCATAGCTTGCCTGTCATTTTGTAGCATTACTAAAAGACCTAGTGCTAGTGATGCGTATGTTGGTACATTGCATTACATGCATTGCATTAAGAACATTGGAAATACGAGGACACGTCCTCATTTCGAATGTCGGGTGTCGCGTCGCAATCGCTGTCCAGGATCCTGGCATCAATCCAAGCGCAGGCACCTTGAGCTCGCCAAGCTTGACAGACTAAACGGGATGAAGATCGCTTGCATTCGGCCCTCAAATGTGATCCACAAAGGGTGTGGGCCTCCAAGCCACTCACAGCTTGTGCACAGGTGATCCTGGACCGAATCCGGTCGTTCCTGCACCTTCACCTGGTCTTTGGACTGTTTCAAACGAAACTGCTGAACGCTCCTTGACTTGGACTGCTTGGGGGAAGATGCTCAATAAATATGCTCTCCGGATTTGGCTTTTCCACATGCGGTTGAAGCCTCAATTATCATTAAATGATTCATAACCGAAAAAAAGGCTGCATGTGCCCAAGGCGGTTTAGACATGGTCATGGCGCAAGTGGGTGCAGCTGCATCGCTACGGCAGAGAAGCATCAACGACTTGGTTGGCCTGCGTGAGAACAAGGATAAGGCTGGTGATGCTTGATCTGACATCGGTAAGTCAATGTTATTGCGACTCTTTAGCCGCAGTCGTTGGGTACTTTCGGGTCTGGAAAATCCTAGGCCCAGCAGGTTGGTCAACTTGCATGCTGTGCAGCAATCAAGCTTCATGTCAGAAATTGATCATTAAGAATGACAAGCTCAAGACTTCTAAATTGAGCCAATTCTTCAAGATCCCTCTGAACCTGACGAATTCTATCTTCTTTCAATGTGTCTATGCCAATGAACACTATCCAGACGCTTTTCTGGTTTTTACGGTTTCCAGCCATGGCGTTTCCAATTTTGGGCACCATGAATTTTGGCAGTGAGGGCCAGGTGAAGATGTCAGCAGCTCAGGGCCTCTTGAGTAGCTTTGCAGGCTCCGGTTGTGCGAAAACACCCTGTGGGGCTATGGTGGACACAGCGAGGATCTACCAACATGCGTTCCCTGAGGGTGACACCGAAACCACCTTGGGGCAGATCTTTCAAAGCTTGCCATCCTTGCAAAAGCGCTGCCACATTGCCACGAAAGCTTCTCCGCAATGGTCACTGTCAAAGGCATCGGTCATCGAACAATGTAATACCTCCTTGGAGAAATTGGGAGTAGATTGCATCGACTTGTTTTACTTACATGCACCAGACATCCGAACAGATATCAACGATACGCTCGAAGGCATAGACCAGCTCCACAAGGAAGGAAAAATCAAAGAGTTTGGGCTTTCAAACTATCCGGCCTGGGCAGTTGTGGACATTTGGCACCGTTGCAAGAACCGGCAAATGATTCTGCCGACAGTCTACCAAGGAGCGTACAATGTGATAACACGGGACATGGAGCGTGAGATTGTTCCAGTTGCCCGTCACTTTGGTCTAAGACTGTACATGTACAATCCTTTGGCTGGAGGCCTCCTTTCTGGGCGTTACACCAAGATGGAGGACGTGACCAACGCGACGTCTGGCCGTTTCTCGTCAGAGTTCGACTCCGCCTTTGGGAAGACCTTCAAGGCTGGCACGGAGATTTACCGAAAGCGCTATGCCAAGGAGCCGGTCTTCGAAGCCTTGGAAATCCTGCTTGGTGCTTGCCCCAAGCTCCAAGCAGAGGCTCCAGAAGTGGTTCATGACAAAACCACCGTGGTTGAAGGACAACGGGTGCGTTTGGTGGTTTCAGAGAGCAAGGAGCCACCGAGATCGGGACCAAGTTTGGCAGAGGTTGCGTTGCGTTGGCTTATTCATCATTCTTATTTGAGGAAGGGAGATGGCATCATCATCGGCGCCTCCAAGCAAGATCATTTGGTGGCTAACTTGGCGGCCTGGCAGGCGGGGCCCTTGCCCGCACCGCTCCTGGAAGCCTGTGAAGCTGCTTGGGCAGTGAGCAGGTCCTGCTGCGAGGCCTATTTTCGAGGTTATGGTGCATTACCTGGAGGTATCGAGGCTTTCCTCTCCCTGCAGGACGAAGCAGAACACGTTCAGAAGAAAAACAAAGTGAGCGACGGAACAGAGCAAAGCTCTTAGCGACCTAAATCTTAATACTATTCAAGTCTTTTGCATAGATTTTGCAATGCTAGATATGCTTCTTTTTGCCTTATATCATCTTGTGCACAGGCCAGTCAACCTATGGTTGGCAGTTCTGAAGTCATGACACATTTTAGCATGAAGATGCATGAAGTAGCTTTAACTCGTTTGGACAACTGCCATTGGGCACTAAGATTTAGGCCTCGTGTGGCTGTTTGAGTCTCGGGCCAAGATCAAGGAGTGAAAAGCAGCTGCTTCAAAGGTCGCAGATTCAAAAAGAGGAAAACACCAAACAGTGTGAAGTCTTTTGCTTGTAGCAGGGACAGGGCAGCTATCCACGCGCGCACACACACAGCTAACACACACTTGAATTTGGGTTTGTGTGCCGCTTACGGCAATTTACATCATTTCACAATCACTTTTCACACCTGTGAAGGCTGGCTTCCTTGGCAAGTTGAGGCTACTGGCAGGACACACGCTGGTTGCATGTTCTGCATGTTCTCATATTGAAGTCATGAAGTGTATTTGTATTGGAGTCACTTGGAACCTTGGGGTTGGGTCGGTAATTACTGGCAACACACATTATGCATGCGGGACTTCAGGGCCAAGAAAGGGTTGTAGTTCTGAAAGACGCAGTGCTGTAGGACTAGACAAGGAGGAGATGCCAGAGACATACTCGCTTATGAGAGAGGTTGAAGATGCTGGCAGAGACTGTGAAAGTGATTTCGATACTTGGCACGTTTGCTTCACCTGTTCTTCGAGGTGAGGGAGGAAACGAACTGTTGTTCTACTGAGAAGGGCAGCATTGGAACAATAATGTGTCCGACATCAAAAGTTGTCCATTCAATAGTACTCATGTCCTTCTTGGCCTACAAAGACATTGCAATGTCACAGCTGACAAAGGATGTTGCGGCATTTCAACTGATGGTCACTGCAACGTTATTGGACGACAAAGTTCTGATGTCCGAACTTGAGGCGAGATTTGGGCTGTCGACGTTTGCTAAGAAACAATATCAAAGTGGTAACAAGGCCACAACGGTAGCAGACTTGCTCTGAAAGCTTTACTCTGACAAAACACCACATGAATGTTGTTGATTGTGTTGTTTAATCAATGGAAGGCCTTAACTACCCTCTGAAGATGATCCTT